CTAGAGAAGTAGTGACGAGGGGTCGACATCGACACTTACTAGTAGTCCAATACGAAAAATACAACAAGAGGTAAACAGATATGGGGCAGAGTAAATAAACGAAATAAACAAGTATAAATACGTTGTACATTCCTCCTGTCAACAATAGACTCAAACTCTCGATTTAGTAGTTACCTCCTCAATCGGAGTATGTGTGTGTGTGTGTGTATGTGTGTGTATANTGCACTAACTCTTGACAATTAATACGCACGATTCCATAGGAATATTTTATAGAAATGGCGAGGCGTACGGCCCGATCCCATCATAACCTGGTATGTAACCATAGATACATTTATTACATTGCTGAGGCGAACAGTCTGCTCCCACGAGACTGTGGTACATAATCCTGCGGAGGCAAACGACCCGATCCCATAAAAGTGTGCATACTGCTGAGTATCGAACAACATGAACCATAGATGTATCTATTACATTGCCAAGGCGAACGGCCCGATCCCATTAGAATAAAAAGCTTTGGTAGGTCCTTGACCCCACTCACGAATAACGTCTGAGTTATGAACTTTAAGGAAACTTTTTGATGAAGACGCACATTGTAAGGGAAATATTTAAGGAGAGTATACTTATTCCACGGCTAATCATGAAGCCTGTCAAATCTCTATAATGGCAAGTCTATCACTATACGCGAGTCTAGTCTCCAGTCGTAATGCGAAATAAGGGAATTAAACGACCAAAGATAACCCCTATAATACAAGTATAGCATGGCGTGAACCTAAATCTACCCGAAAAATCACATGAATCTAGCTACCTACGGACTCTCGTTACCTCGTATGTACGTAGCCCCCACAACAAGTAACACATATCAAATACATCACCTAGGGGTAGTTTTCCCCTCACAGAGTTAAACAAGAGACTTACCTCGCTACAAAGTTCCATAACCGGCTCCAAAGCCTCTCTAACACCTCAAACCAATGCCCGTTGCTCCAAAACTAGTCAAACAATGTGCAAACCAATAAATATATACTCCAAAATGCGTAATAAATCATTTTAAATAAATTTCCAACTCCGCTCGAAAAATCGATAAAGGAAACCCTCAGGCCTACATGCCCGAATTCTGAAACTTTCTGAAGATAAACATTACCCATAACATTGCGAACTCAAATATATAATTTATTCCAAATTCCATGTCTAATTTTGTGGTAAAAATCCAAAAATATCAATTTCTAGGTTTCTTTTGAAATCTCATAATTTCTACATATTTCCATGCTTGAATCCATATAAAAACTATGTATTTAACTCAAAAATAGGTGGGGATAACTTACCTTGCCATTGATGATAAAAACCTCCACTAGAACCTCACCAAGAATCGCCCAAACCAAGAGAGAATGAAAGAAATGGGCCAAATCCGGTTCTTAAAAGAGCACACTGCCCAGCGACCTCTCGCACATGCAGTTACTTGCCCGAAATGCCACTTTTGTCGTCCTCCTTCAGGCCCCTCAACTCCGCATCTGTGGCCCCATCCGCGCTTCTGCGCCTTCGCTTCTGCGGCTCCACGTGCACTGGTGCGGTCCCGCTTCTGCAGAACTCGACCGCATCTGCGGTCCCAGCCTTTCCTAGCCAGAACTGCTTCTGTGATCCTCCCGGTCGCTTCTGTGGCCCCGCACCTATGGCCATAACCTCGCAGGTGCGGTTACACCAGAAGACAACTGCTTTAGCACTCCTTCCAAGTCCAAATTTGATTCGTTGATCATCCAAAATTCACCCGAGGCCCTCGAGACCTTAACGAAATATACCAACACATCTCAAAATATGATACAAACTTAGTCGAAGCCTCAAACCATGTCAAACAATATCAAAACTACAAATTGCGCATCGATTCAAGCATAATGAATTGTTGAACTTCTAACTTCCACATCTGATATCGAAACCTATCAAATCACGTCGGATTGACCTCAAATTTTATAGACAAGTCGCATTCGACATTATGGACCTACTGCAACTTCTGAAATCAAAATTTAAATCCGAACCCGATATCAAGAGGTCCACTCCCGGTCAAACTTCCCAAAAAAAAAAATCAAACTTCCAACTTTTGCCAAAAGACCCCGAAATGACCCACGGATCTCCAAATCAACATACGGATACACTCCTAAGACCAGAATCACCACACAGAGCTATTCCCTGGCTCGGAATCGAAAACGAACATCGATAACATTAAAATACGATCCAACCCAAATTTATGAAATTCTTCCAAATTGCCAACTTCCACGATAAGTGCCGTAACGTTCCCGGGTCATCCAAAACCCGATCCGGACATACGCTCAAATCCAAAATCACCATATGAGCCATTTGGAACTTACAAATTCTGATTCCGAGGTCGTTTACTCAAAAGTTAAACCTTAGCCAATTCTTCTAACTTAAAGCTCCTGAAATTAGAGATTTCTTTCAAATCCAATTCCGACCATAAGTACTAGTCATAATACATTAAGTGGAGCTACTTAGGGACTCCAACCGCCGAAAAATACGCTAGAGTTCAAAGCGACCGATCGGGTCGTTACAAACGGGGTGATGTCGAGCTATGAACTGGTGAGTTTGGTAATGAACAGTTGACATGTTCTTGTTGCTGATGTACTTCAAACTTAAGGTCCATGTTAGAAAGAGAAAATTGATCTATTTATGCATGAGTTGCATTTTTGTACTCTTCAGTTGTAACCTCCTTTGGATCAATGAATTCTTTATATGTTGACATTGAAAAATATTTACCTGAAGCATCCTGTACAATACTTTGAACAAAAGGTAAACATTGCTCATCAAAAATAACATGTCTGGATATATAAACTTTCTTTGTTTGAGGATGGTAGCATCTATATCCCTTGTGCAAGGGACTATATCCAATAAATACATAAGGAAAGGTCTTCGGTTGAAACTTGTTGTCATTGTATCCTTTTAGATATGAAAAACATCTACAACCAAAAATCTTTAGAGCACTATTATCTGGTCTTTTTCCGTACAATTCCTGAAGAGGAGCTTGCATCCTTAAAACCAGTGTAGGTAATCTATTGATAAGATATACGACAGTCATGAAGGCTTCAACCCACAAGTAGAGTGGTACACTAGCATTAAAAAGCAATGTTAATCCAGTTTCAACTAAATGTCTATGCTTTCTTTCCGCGACGCCCTTTTTCTCAGGTGTATGTGGGCATGAAATTGGCCTTTGAATTCCACATTGTGCAAGATGATCAATAAAGACTTTACTACTGAACTCTCCACCTCCATCACATTGAAATATTTTAATTTTCTTATCAAACTAATTTTCCACTAGCCTTTGAAAATTAACAAAAGTAGTGAAAATCTGATTTCTTTCTCAATGGATATAGCCAAGTATATTTTTTTATGATCATCTACAAAAATAACATAATATTTCATGCCTTGTGGTGAAGTAACTGGTGAGGGACCCCATAGATCACAATGAATTTTGATAAGAGGATCAGTCTCAATTATATTTGAACTCCCAAATGGTTGTTTACAACTTTTTTCCATTTCACATACAACACAAACTGAAAAACTCTTATCCAACTACTAATTCTAACTAATCTATTTAAGTAGAGAAATTGCATGGTCCTAGAGTTAGAATTCCCGCGCCTTTGATGCAAAACTTGATCTGATGCTTTACTTGAACGTATGGCTGCCAAAGCTTGATGCACCATTCCATCGGCATCTTTTGGATCTAAGGCATATAAATCTCCTCTTCTACTCCCTTTTGCCAGTAAACGCCTTGTTTTCTTGTCTTTAACAACAAATTCATAGTTAGTAAATTCCAATAAACATTCATTGTCACTTGCAAGTTTGCTCACAGATAGTAGGATTTTCATTAAATTAGGTACAACTATAACGTTCTTTAATTGTAGATTTTTACCAATTTATTTATTCCCAACATGTGTAATTTTGAGTCATTTCCAACACCTATCATAACTGAGTCTGAGCCATAGAATAGGACAGAATTATTCAAATTACCTATTGATTGTATCAAATGATGACTTGCTTCAGAGTCCATGTAGAGGTTATTATCTGTTTGCTCAATTATAGTTGAGGTTAAGAGAGCTTGTGGCATTTTTTGTTGAGCTTGATATGAATAATCCCATCTATAAAAACATGAAACAACAGTATGATTATTTCTTCCACATATATGACATGGATTTAATTGTGATTGGTGTTCCTTATGATTATTTGTTGCACCACCAAGTTGTTTGGGATTTGAGTAATTGTTGAATCTAGGAGTAAAGCCTCCTCTTCATCTAGCTTGTCCTCTTCCTCTATATGAATTTCCTCTGCCTCTACTATTGGCATTACAAAGACTATGCAGAAGTCTGAAGTGTATTTATTTGTATTGGGCTTAGCAGACCACGCTCCGCCGGGTCGGCCCACATATTAGCATTAGTTCTTTATACTTTTACTCTTGTATATAAATATATACTCTAGAACATTCAGAAGTCAAGTAGTTCATTTTTACATAAGATGAATAAAATTTCAGCAATTCGTTCCACTTTGTGCTCTCTTCTCTCAAGCCCTAATGCACAATTTCTTCTTTAATTTCTGCTACAAATCGAAACTTCACATAGTATCAGAGCCCGAAATACTGTAGATCTTCATCTCTCGAGTCGATCGATGGTACCCTCATCCAATTTCGTTCAGGTCTGGTTTCGCCGAGATTCACTCACATCGTCGATTTCTCGATTTTCGGCGAAGATTTGTTGTTTTCATAGTGGATTTTTTTCTGCTTTGTTGAGTTTTCACTCCGACTATTAGTCTATTTTGTCAAGATTCTCCGGTTTTAAGAGAAGGTTCGAAACTAGGGTTTGTGACTCTACCTGGTCCGGTGTATTGTTCTTGCCAGTGTCGTCGTGTAATTTGTTTTCAAGGCCGTTCTTCTCCGGTTGCGAAGAAGGCTGTAAATGCATTTTATTTTCTATACTTCTTCTGCTAGTACTGCTTCTGTTGTTTGATGAGCAATGTTGATTAAAGTTAAATTCTATGGTATATTTCTGCTGGTGTTGCTCCGTCTAGTTTCAATCATAACTAACGAGTCTAGTAGTACTGCTGCTGATTCTGAATTTACACCACATGCTTCTAGTCCATTATTCCTTCATTCATCTGATATACCTGGGATGTCCTTAGTTGTTGTTTCCTTTTCTAGTTGTGGCTTTGGTGGGTGGAGAAGGAGCGTTATTACATCCTTGTCGGCTAGGAATAAAATTACTTTCATTGATGGTAGTTTTCCAAAGTCAACCGCTAGTTCTCCTAAGTCTAAACAATGGGACAAGTGTAACAACATGGTTATATCCTGGCTAACCAGTTCACTCACACCTGAGATTGCTGAGAGTGTGCAATATTCTGACACCGCTGAAAGCATCTGGAAACAGTTGAACAATAGGTATGGAATTATTAATGGAACAAAGAAATTTGAAATAAAAAAGGAATTGGCTTCCACGTGTCAGGGACCTCTTGATATAGCTTCTTATTTCAACAAGTTAAAGAAATTATGGGATGAATTGGGGACTATGGGTTCAAATCATGTAAATACATGCATTTGTGATGCAAAGGAGGGTTTGTTGAGGGAAGATGAAGAAAATAAAGCTCACCAATTCTTAACGGGCCTGAATGAAACTTATATAACTGTCAGAAGCAACATTCTCATGATGAATCCACTCCCTTCACTTGATAATGTGTATAACATTCTTCTGGAAGATGAAAAGCAGAGACAAATAACTCCTAATACTCATTGTACACCTGACCTAGCATCTTTTAATGCAAATACAATTACTCCTACTAGGTTTCCTCATCATTTTCAGTCCCAAAGGCGGTACACTCAAAAGGTCAATTTTGACTCACCTAATCAGAGGTTGGTTTCTAATCAGAACAAAGACTTATTTTGCAAGTACTGTAAAAAGAGTGGTCATACAATTGATAAGTGTTATAAATTGATTGGATCTCCACAAGGTTTCAAGTTTACTAAGGGAAAAAGGTTTGGGACTGCTGCAAATGCTGAGTCTTCCACTTCTAAAAACTCTAATTCTCCTACAACATCTGGTTTCAATGGTCTAGTTTCTAGCATACCTAGTCTTACCATGGAGCAGTATTCCCAACTCTTGATTTTGCTTCAACAATCCAGTCTTGTTGATTCCAATTCTCAACCCAACTTTGTGGGGTCTCCTAACTTTGTTGGTAGTAATCTTTCTTTGCCTGAGTTTAATGGTGTTGCTGATTATTCTGCTTGCATGTTAACTAGTGTAGGTAGAAGTGTCTGGATAGTAGATTCTGGAGCACTGATCACATGACCTCTGCTAAAGAACTTCTTTTTGATATTACTCTACTTCTTGTCCCTTACTTAGTCACTCTACCTAATGGATACAAAGTAAAAGTCACATACACAGGGTCACTCACTTTGAATTCTTGATTTGTCTTGTACCAAGTGCTTTACATAACTATTTTCAAGTACAATCTCATCTCTGTGCATAAGCTGATTTAACAGTTTCATAGTATAGTCATTTTTACTTCTTGTTCTTGCTTGATACATGACCTTTCCAGGAAGAAGCTTCTGGTTCTTGGTAAACTGGACCAAGGGCTATACAAACTTCATCACCTTCCCACTTCATCCCCTTCTGGTTCTGCTTTGAATAATGTTGTGCAGAATGTATCTAGCTATACTCTGAATAATACTTTGCAGACTCTGAATCCTCCATCTTTGAATACTTCTGTATGTAGCCTAAATGAAAGTGTGGTTCCATCTGCTCCTTTTGTTAATTTTGTACAACATGTGAATAATCTTGATATGATTTGGCATAATAGAATGGGACATCTTCCTTTTGCAAAATTGAAATGTATACCTTCTGTTTCTTCTGATTTGTCCACTAAACAGTCTTTTATTTGTTCTATCTGTCCTTTGGCTAGACAAGCTAGATTGTCTTTTCCTGATAGTACATCAGCTCTACTTCTCTGTTTCAACTTATTCACATTGATACATGGGGGCCTTATCATACCCAAACTTATTCTAGTGTTAAATATTTTTTGACAATTGTAGATGACTTTAGTAGGGCAACTTGGACACATTTAAGGAGTTCCAAGAGTAATGCCTTTACTTTACTTAAAGCCTTTATTGGCACGGTCAAAATAAAATTTAATCTTTCTGTACAAACAATCAGAAGTGATAATGCCTTGGAGCTTGGTTCTTCAAACTTGACCTGCCAATTCTTTTCTGATAATGGAATCCTGCACCAAACTACATGCCCTCATACACCACAACAGAATGGAGGTTGAAAGAAAACATAGACACTTGCTGAAAACATCAAGAGCTTTATTGTTCCAATCCAAACTTCTAACAAAATTTTGGGGGGATTGTGTTTTAATATATAT